TCTTCTAAAGCCAATTTCATAACTTATGCCTTGTGCATGAAATATATATGCTATATTTCTCTGTATGCACAGTTAATTGTAATGACAAATTGTGATTTAACAGTTTTTGGTGAATTTTCTTGGAGAGAAGCCCGCAAAGAGGCAACTATCTGATGAGGTCATATTCTCCAGCTTATCTCTTGCCCTTCCTGTGGTAGACTTTTGTCTCCGAGTTTTATTATTTCTGTTTTTATTCTTTTGTGTTCAAATTATAATGTTTTGAACAAGTATATTCTTTTGACTTTCAGGGCATTCAAGGTACAAAAGATCTCAGATTTGTGGATGATCATATAAAACATGATATGATTGATGATGCAGAAAATGAGTCCAGTGACATTGATAGCCTGTTTCTGATTCTTATGATTATGATGGATATATTCTCTAAAGAAATTAATTTCGTATAATTTATGGTGTGAATAACAATTTTGCTCTAATGCAGTTGTGAAGGGAGGTGCCTAAGGTGCTTTCATCCAACTGTAGAGTCTGCTGTGGGTTCTGATTGCAAACTTAAACAAACCCAAACAAAACCATCTTTTCTGAATATGACAACATGTCTTGGCTTTAGGTGGCCATTGTTTGAGCATTTTGGTCCAATTTTTGGGGGTTTTGAAGTCTGGGTTTACATGTGCTCTTCAAGAACAGCTTCTCCAGAAAATTAATTGTTGGGAATATGTAAGTTTTGATGTCAAATTGAATTTGATTACTGAAATTGGAATTGTGATTGATTTCGTCTGTATTTTGTGTAGAAATTGAAGTATTGAGATTGATTTTGTTTGTTTGAAACAACAAATGTGTTTGTTCTTTGTCGATTGATTCTTGCATTTGGTATTGGGAGATTTGTCATAGGCATGTTAGTGTAGTTACCGTATTGCAAGGGCTGAAATCTGGATGATAACAGCTTCTTTTTATTGTTGTTTTAAAGCGAGGTATGTATGGGTCTTATGAAATTTTTACAGAAATATATTGGAGGGCAAATAATTTTATTTTAGTTTTTTTATTCCCAAATGATACCCAAAACATGTAAGCTTCACACTATGTTAATTTTTGCAGGATGGGAAAACATTGGAGAATGAGTTGGAGGTTGTTAAGGGAATGAAGCTAGACGGGCTACATATCCCCTTATTTCATCACCAACCAGAACAATTAGAAATGTGTAAGTTTTGGTTTGACTCAGCGATAACTATGTCTTAATGCTGATTATCTTCAAACTTGTGTATGTGCTGGTAGGAATTGGAAAATCCTCTAATCATGATCCATGAGAAGAAAATCTCAAGTATTAATGCTGTGGTTAAAGTATTGGAGTTGGTTTTGCAGGTTAGCATTTCTCTGGTTAGGTCCACTAGTTTCTTCTTTTTTACTATGAATTGGTTGACAAACTTTTGCTCCTTTTCAGAAGCAAAGGTCTTTGCATTTTGTTATATATTTCAGAACCAAAGTTATAAAAGAAAATGGTTTTCCCCTTTGTTAATTGAGAATCATCTGCAATTATGATTTCAGATATGTAGATAACTTGTTGTTACTGATATTGCTACACGGAAGGAGAATAGAACATCTTGGAAAATGTGCAAGAAGAGAGAGCTAACTCATACACCGAAGAACAAATTGATGAAGTTAAGATCAAATTAGTAGAATCTGTGATCTCTCCATTATTTATAATTATAGGTAGGAAGTATGTATGTAATAGAGCAAAGATTGGTTGACTATGTAATAACAATTGAATTTTCAAATGTTATGAAAGAAATAATTTTTGAGCATATATATTCGTTAATAAAGCATTATAATTGGTTTTCTAGTTAAAATCATTGTATAGAATCATAGGAAACAAAAACCTATGTAACAGTTTGTGAACGTATTAGACGACAGATTTAAAGATAATAAAATGTAGTCTGAATTATTAGAGTTCGGTGGCAATTTATTTTGCATGTCTAAATTGTAGTCTGTAATGGATGTGTGTGTATTGTATGTAGATTGACTTAATATTGTTGTCCTATTGCAAGTGTATTGTACTAATATTGCCTTTGTATTGCATACATATTGTATGCATATTGCCACCCTATTGCATGTATATTGTGATGCTATTGTTGTTGTATTGCTGTTATATTGCCTTAATATTGCCTCTCTAGTGGATGTATATTGGCCTAATATTGCTATTATATTGTATGTATATTGACTACGGCTCATCAATGGATTTACGGTTTAGGCCCTACTTCATTCAAAAAGAAGATGACGACGAGAAAGAAACAACGTGCCTTTCAAAAACAGGCAGTCAAGTGCATTATAATTGCACCGTAAGACATTTTAAGAAATTATTTTAAAAAATAATAACCACTAAAAAAAAAAATTTACAAAAAAAGGAAGGTATGAATAAATATGCAAATGCTTCGTGATGGGTTGAAGAAAAGGATGATTACATTTGGTGGTTTGATTATGTGTGGTGATACAATATGTTGTTTGTCTTAATCTTCATATATGTAATTGTCGTATTAATACTTGACACAAATTCATCTCGTAATCATCCAATTATTAAAGTTAAGTAAATGAAATGAAACAAAAGAAGAAGCCCAAAATAAACAGAAACATCAATTTCTTGCACCATTTTATCGTGTCTGTATTGCCACTGTATCACCAACGTATCTGTTTGCCCGTTCTTGGTTTACTCCTATGATGGAAGGGCAAAGTTCCCCACTGCCTTGAGAATCATAGACTGGTCAACAAGTCAGCTTTCTTTGGTGTGCGAGCGTGCCACTGCTAGTAATAAAAATTCTAGCAGACTTAGTTTGGAATGGATAACTTGCGCCCCAAGTTACTGATTTCTGCAAACAAACGATTGTGAATTTGGGTGAGGAATATCTCCCAAGTAAGTTCTTTTCTTGCCTCAGACTGGTGAGGACTTTAACAATTTATCTCAGTATAAAGAGGTTGTTCTGGCCAGAATGGTTGATGGAATTTAAACTGTTTTTAGGCAGAACTGCCTTTTACAAAACTATAACAATAAATACTCATGCTAGAGAGATGAAGATACAGTTGGAACTCCATTTCTGTCGAGATGGAAGGTTCTGTTCTGGGCTGGACTGGAAATGTCCGGGCTGGACTGGAGACGCTTGGGCTGGACTGGGAATGTCTGGGCTGGACTGGACCGTTGACAACTCTGATTGCTAAGCTTCAACTATAAATCGATACCAAAGGTTGATTCTGGCAGAGCTTCAATGTACCTTAAGCTTTTGTGAAGCTTCTGAGTGGGCAGAACTGCGGCTTCTTCAGTCTGTAA